TTATGGTCAACGGTGATCTCACCCATTATCATTTTCTCAATGATCTCGAGCTGTTATAGCATTTGACAGAGTATTCATTGTATGTCGCCCATGGTAAAGCCCAGAGCAGGTTCCAGTAATTGCCTTCTCGGCGACATGGCTAGGGTTTATGAGTGGATAAGTGGAAGAAGGTGTGTGGGTTGGGTAAATAAGAATTTGGGGGTGGGGATATGGGATTGAGTATGGCGAGTGATAGAAATTATAAGATAAAATTAAGGTTAGGCTAACTCTAATACCCAGAGTTAACCAAAAAGACAAGAAAAATGCAATTTTTATTACATAAAAGCAAATAGACGATTATAAAACACACATTGAAATAAGAAATATAAAAGACAAAAAACAACAAATTAGGGCATGAATAAAAGGTAGTGGAAAGACGACAGATAAACACCACCTTAGGATGAAGCAGGTCAAACGAGTTACAGTCGGAACACATTCTCACATTCGGATACAGCCCTAAGAGGGAGAATTGGAGACATTGGCGATTATCCTAACAAAAAAACACTACTAAACTAAACTTAGAACACACAAAACAAATCCAAATACTATCAAGTGACAAAGGAGTGGTCCAGTCCTGTTGGGCGGCAACTCTGGACCCCCGAGTGACAAATAGAGCCTCCTGTTTTCCATATGGACCGGTCCAATTGGCCGCAGGTCCTATCTAGTCCAGCTTCACGTCTGTGTCAAACTATATAATATATTATTGTGTGTATGATGCAAGTATTATTGATAGACCACTACTGCGACTGACGGTCGAGCTTGACGGATTTATAGAGTGATGATATTTTTGGAAATCATTGAATTTTCATGGTTTTGTGAAAATCTTTTCAATTTAAGCCAAGCAAATCGACTATAGATTTAGAAATATCAAATATTATAATGTTAATTAATTATTTATTTTTAGATGCGTATAGACATTATGCATGATAATGAATGTTTTTGAATTTGAATGTAGTAATGTTCAACACCATGTATATGAATTTTATGAACTCTAATACATGTAAGCACTATTTATAAAGTATTATAATACAATATCTATTATTCTTTGTATTTCTTTCATTGATCATATATATTAACTACGCCTTATTTTTTATACCTTAGTCAATACGTTTCACAAACTAAATTTATTTCATGTAAACTTGAATATATCATGTTATGATTTTTTTCAAGTTATTGAAATGAGAGCTTCTAGACTCATGTTTTAGGTATATCATTGGAAGTTGATGAATATTATAACTTAGTTGATTCAGCAGAGATATTATTCGATAGATGAGTTATGGCAATACTTCAGTTTCATTTACATTTTAGTGAATAAACTAGTAAGTGAAATTAAATTTAGGTGTTCTATAGGTATTATTAGTGGAGAAATGTTATTGCAATATATATTTATACTTAAAGAATAAAATCCTAAATATATACACTAATCCTACCCTGTTCGATAATATTTTTCCCAAGCCCAACAGGCAAGCTGTGACAATCATGTAGATGACGAAGATAAGCTAACAATGAAATACAACTACAAGCACAATCGGGATGTGTCCGGTTTGGCATGTGAGATGTTAAGGAGAAATTAACTAATGACATTAAAGTGGTGTTTGGCTGCGAATTGATTTAACATTAAACAAGATTCAAATCCTGTTAAATCCCGATTTATCAAACGCCATGAGCGACGCGACGCCCGTAAATCCGCCTCTTGGATGGATTTAATAAATCCGGATTTACGTGGTTTATTTACCGGAACTCGATTAATATCCACAGAAAGCAAATATTACTGATTTAACGAAGTAAAAGCAAGAGCAGAACTACTTTACCTAATTGTTGAATCTTATAAACTGAAACATACACTAGGTCACACATATAAGAACTCTCAGTGCTCACGATAACCGATTTCAGATCAAGTTCTTGCAATGTACCGTACATAAAATGGTGGAAAAACATAATTTCCCCGTCACCACTAACCTTGTCAATCCTCTTGCCACTGCGGTATCGCATCATGCGGCTCCATCCAGCAACCAAAACGATTCCGACTAGGGTTCTCATTCCCATTGTTGTCGATCATCAAGATTAATAGATTTCTCACCAATTTTGGATCAGTTCAATGTACCTCTCTTCTTCCACTATACAGCAATCAAACTTCTTCTTCCATCAAATAAGCAAGAGATCAAACCTAACCATTCCAGTTTGCTGAGAAAGAGTAGGAGTCGACAGAACACGCTGCGAAGCCGAAACGGTAGGGAGACTTTTCCGTTCAAAATCAAGAGGCGTTTTCTGCAACTACGCATTAAAACGATATAGACGAATTAAATAATAATAACAGATATCGGCCAACTGGGCTAGCCCAACTGGGCCAAGCCGGCTGAGTCAACCGCCCTCTTCCTTGTTGCTAACTGAATTTGTAAATTTTAATTTCGAGATTTAGGATCTGTTTGAGGCAGTTTATGCATTTCAGGATAAGTGATAAGCAACTTATCCTGAAATGTAGCATGTGGGTCGACCGCGGGGTCGACTCGGGGTCTGCGTTTAGTGTAAAAAATCCAAACGCGACAGACAATTTTTCAATAATGCGCAAACCAAACGTTTAGGCTAAGCTGCACCGTTTGGGGCAGTTTATAAGTGCGTGGTTGTCTTTTAAAACATCGCGGTATCGTTTGTAACGCTTGTTTTGCCCACTTATCAGAAAACGTGGTTCCATTTTTACACTAAACGCAGGTCGCGGGCAGAACCTCGCGGTCGACCTGCGGGTCGCATTTCAGGATAAGCTGTTTATCTTGAAACGCACAAGCTGCCCCAAATGCCCCCTTATGGCCCGTTTGAGGCAGTTTATAAGTGCGAGGGCGTTTTTGAAAACGTCGCGATACCGTTTGTATCGCACGTTTTGTCCGTTTATCTAAAATTGTGTGTATTGATGGTAAAATGATTGTCTTGATTTTAGAAATTTAAGTGGCCCAATATTTCTTGAAACAATATCCTTAAGATGCTTAAATGTTTAACAAATAGTTGTTAATCAAGAGATCAATATGGATCATCCGATAGAGCACATAGATTTTGGCTAAAATAGTCAAAATGTACTACAAAAATTTATAAATAGTTTTCCATTTTACACAAAAGAGATCTTAAATTGGAGAACAATTGGAGAATTAAATAATCCTAACTTTCTTAATTGGTACATGTTGGCATTAAATTTTGATGCCACGAGTGTAGGGTATTCACCTGCATGACTGAGGATAGTTCACGGCATGTCCGTAACATTCGGTAGTTCAGATACACACCCGGGGTCCTCCTAGCACTTGTTCGGGGCATGTAGCTAGACTTGGTGGCGATTCAGCCCTATCCTTGAAAAATCCCTTTGGGAGGCCCATCCAGGATGTGAAACGCTGTTGGTGCCTAATTTGATCATTATAAGTCGCCACACGTCCATCTAGAGCCTCCCACGACTTTAGAAAACCACCAAGTCCACCTACGCGCGCTACGAGAAAATAAGGGTTTGTGACACCCTACCCTCGTTGCGGCTTAAGACGAATGTTGGCACCAATTTCTTCGATAAATGCCTGACCTAAATGCTTCATTTTGAAGTTATGAGATCACATTTTACTCACATGCAGTCTCCTACAGCTTTCGGATTGAAAAGATGTTTCGTCAAGCATTCCCGGCCAAAATCGGGGTTTCGGGCTAGACTAGAGCCTTGGGGCCGTCCTTGGAGGTCCACGCACCCAAAATACCTTTCTGAACTATCTAACATGAGCCCTCAGAGTTCTAAGGCTCTATTTTGGCACTTAGACATTTTTTTCGGGCGCCTAGGCACCCAAAACATGTCATTTTTGGCCATTTTTCCCAAGAACCCGAAGCCTAGGCGCCCATACTAGCGCCCAAAACTGGCATAAGCCTCAGAAGAGGTCCATTATCACTATGTACCGCTGAAGTTGGAAAAAATTGAACCATAAGTTTGGCAAAATCATCCTTGAAATGAGGCAATCGTGGCTCAAAATGAAAGGTGAATGCAAACTCAAAATTTTTACTGTCTTCAGTAAGAGAAAGACGTACGTACAAACACATTATCACTATGTATAAATGTCACATTAGACAATTAAAAAGCTATAAACACCAACACACACAGTTACAAAGGCTACAACAAGTCAATTCATCGTCAAATAATGTCAGTGTCGCCTCATCAAAATTCTGATACTTTTGCTGATTTTCAGAAGGATGAGATGCCCCATAAAGCACGACAACAACAACTTCTTCCTCCATAAAGCGCACCCGCCACACAAAAAAAGAACCCGAATCACCTACTAGGAAAGGTCGGGGACAATTTTCTTCTTTTGGGAGATCCCAGATTGTCTGGTAAATAGAGTTAGGGACAACTTTCTTCTTTCTCTGGAAAGTGCAACCACAACATGAAAAAAGATCTTGATCTTTTGATAGACATGGCTGGGGACAACTTTCTTCTTTTAGAGATACTTGATCGTGTGCTAGGCAAGATCATAAACAATTTTTTTTTCTTTCACCGAAAGGTGCAACTACGACACGAAAGAGCATCCTGGATACCCTGCTCGGTAAGGTTGGAGATAACTTTATTCCTCTTAGAAACCCCATTGATTCTTTCCTAGCAAGTCAGTGGGAACTCCATCTTCTTCCTCTTCTTGGTAAAGTGAAAAAAGTTATAGTAAACCTAAATTTTTAACATAAATACAATTTTCCTTTTTTTAATAAGATAAGAGAGAAAAATATCTCCTATTATACTCCTTAATTAAGTCTGTTAAAATAATTTAAATATAATTTAATTTCTTTCCAAAATATTTGTATAAAAATATATTTATGACAAAATCTGAAAATTAAATTTTCTCATATATGCGCATTAATTCCCTAGCAAAATTAAATTAATGCCTAGAAGCTAGTACGCCGTTAGACCTATAAATACTAGCAAGTGGTAATACAATATGGATTTTTTTTTAATGCTTGTATTTCTGTCACTTGTAGTATTATGCTTTTTGTGAAGAAAATCCCCAATTCGATGGACTCATGTTTCCGCCATGGATTGATTCCCGAAGAAGCTCCCCATTCTCCTCGATGAATCGTCTCCCACATTAAGATCCGTCTGAATATGGCCTACGCTGAAAGCCCTTCCCAGCTTTCCGGCATCTGTTTTGTTTTCCTTCTTAGCTTTTTCCTTTTCTTCTCCGTCTTATCTGTTTTCTCTCGATCGGATTTGGGTTCATACATTGAATTGGAAAAGTTTAATTTGAATTGAGGGGATGTGGTTGAGGCTGGTCGGGCCTTGTTCCGATCGAGGGCAATCGCTGCGTGTGCTGAGTTATGGGGAAGCGTACTGTGCGGACATTGAAGGAGTTGTACGATCGCACAGAGAGAATTTTGGAACTGGAGGCATGTACGGTTGTCGCGTTTGTTTCATCCGGTTAGGGTTACGCTCTTCTCCACGCCTGAATAGTTAAATTTATTAGGCTATCTGTTTGTTTTACTCACTTTTCTTCCGTCACCCTGGAATGATTTTGCGTTACTGATGGACATAACATAGTCTGTGAGATTTAGCGAAAGGGAGTGCTTCTTCTTCTTATTTGTTTTCTATCATTTTCATTTTTCTTTACTGGTATTTGCGAGCAAACGAATTGACGCGGCTAAATGTGGTCTGTAAGCAGGGATTTTCTAGGATGTGAGGAGGTAATTATTTTGAATTGCAATTTGTATTTGTGTAGTGCAGTGCTGTGATTTTTTTTAATGTTTTTATTAACGTTTTGTTTGCTATTTTTGCAAACTAGTTAACCTGCAACTAAGCATATAGTACCTGAAACCCATAAGGCTCTGTAGCGCTTAGATACTGCTTTGCGTTTCTTTTAATTTTTTTTTAATTTTTACTGCTTTGGTTTCGAGATCTATTGTTTCGCTAGCTGACACAAACTAGCTTATTCTGTATTTTCAGATTACACCTGTTCTGAAGGGCAGCTGTCGCATCCAAGGACCTGTGGATGATTTGGACCTGATGAATCTTCAGGGGACTGATTCTGTAAGTGCGTTACCCTTTGATAAAAACAGATACCTTCTTGTAGATATTTTTCTTGTAAGGTTTTATTTTTCAATGTTTGGATGTCTAATTTTGGACAAATTGCACTTAGAATATATTTTGGCCTAAACATATTTATTGACATCTCCGAATTCAACCTGCAATTATTATTTTCCTTCAGCATGACATCTAAGATATCTACACTGCTATTTGTTTTCTCCTCTCAGCTGATAAAAGCTGGAATACACAAATGTGTATACGTTTATATCTACAATATATACCAGGTGTGATAAAATAGTATATGAATGTTATATTAACCACAATTTATATCATATTACACTTGCGATTAACACAAACATTTTTTTTTTCTCTCAACACACCTAAATGCGCACACACAACATATGCAAGGCCTTGAACTCAAAAGATCTTTTGGTTGAAGGACAAAGTTCTCAACCACAAGATCATTGTGACTTGCATGATTAACTCAAACTTGTAATTAAGTAAGACACTGCATAATTGATTATTGGTATAGATTACATGATAAAGCAAATGAGTGAGTATTCAAACTTACAAGTTCAATATGAGTAAACAACTCCACTACACAATTTAAGATAATAAAATCACTAACACCTGTAGTTAAACACATAGTTGTTCTACACACAAATAGATCTTATGATATAATAAAACTTTGAGTACGGATTAAATGATTTGACTAGACTAGCAAGAAATCATTCCAACATATGAATAATGATATGCCATTCAAGCATTCGATTAAGCAAAATAACAGGAAAGGTGAACTTAGTTATATAGCAAGTTTCACACCAAACTTTGTTCTATATCTTCGCCTAAGCAGCCTCTCTCCCTACAACCACCACACCTTTTCTAATTGGTGAGACAAACATAAATTTCTAAACACAAAATTTAGATTTCTTTTCGAAAATTCTTCTGAATTTTGTGGTGAATAAGGCCAATACCAAATAAAATCTCTCTCTCTCTCTCTCTCTCTCTCTCTCTCTCTCTCTCTCTCTCTCTCTCTCTCTCTCTCTCTCTCTCTCTCTCTCTCTCTCTCTCTCTCTCTCTCTCTCTCTCTCTCTATATATATATATATATATATATTAAATTGTATGTAATGTTAAGAGAATGTTTGAGTATACATCATAGGGAAGTATTTTATGGATAAATATCTTAATGGTAGGGAGGAAAATTTAAAATCTATAATTGTCCTAATATAGGATTGTGGAATTTAAATGTTGAGAGGTTGTTAATCTTTCAAATAAATTGATAAGAGGGACATATTAGAATTTTTTAGTTGAGTCAAATTTGATGTGGGATAATGGCTAGCTCATTAGGAAGATTGTGATTAAAGCTTTTTTAGGGTATAGAAGCATAGTGTACAATAGTAAAGATACTTGATGGTGCACTCAAATTTGCAAATGATTAAAGAAAGAAGACGTGTTTTTGAAGATTGGCAAAAGATAAATATTATTACAGAGTATAACGATTATAAAAAATAAATAAATTTTAAAAGGGGGTAGCGAACATAAGTAAAGCTACAACTTTTGATGACTTATAATCATAGGCATGCTACTAATAGAGAGATATATAAAATAGCCAAAAATAAAGATTTTTAAGAAGATTTACGTGCATGCCAATTAATTCCTATGTATTTTCACCTTTAACACCCAAACTTCAATTTTATACATATGTCACCTTACCTATGTACGAAAAGGTGTATTTCATTTTTTGAAAATTAAAATGGTGATTTTTTTTGTGATATGAAAGATTTGATTGTTATAAATGTAAAAAAGTAAAACTTAGGTGTTAGATACGTAAATGCATAAGAATTGGGTGGTATGTATGTAAATGCACCAATATTTAATGAAGTTACTTGCATTAAAAATGAAGATAATTATAAGAAATTGTTGATATAAGGAAAGATGAATTATTCTTCTTGGAGAACTTATTAAATGGGAGTCTTGAGTGAAATTATTAAAACATGATGAATAATAGAATGAGATATGTTATAGATTGACATTTTGGAGAACTTTCATGTCACAAGCTTATGGATGAAAAGTTTTATTTCACTTTTAAAAAGCTAGTAATAAAGGCATTTTTATGTGATATTAAAGATTTGAATGCTATGCATATAAAAATGAAATAAAAATGAAAATTTAGATTGAAAATTTAGATGTTTAGATATGTAAATACATAAGACTTGTGTGGTATCTGCATAAATGCCCCTTTTATTCTTCATGCAAAAAGTCATATTATTGAGTGCTACTAGAGTTGATTTAGTGTGCATTGAGGAAGAAGGTTGTACCATCCAAAGATTTGTTAAAGTTATTAAAGTCGCTTATGATAAAAGCATTGGTTAATTTATGTAGTTGTGATTAAACAATTTTTAATTGTATTAGAATTATATCAAGCATTGAGAAATACCTCAAAAGTATTATTTGATAAATAATTTATTTCATGCTTAAAAGATGAACTTTATAAGCCAACTATGATGTATGAATTTGAGTGTTGAACGTTCAAAATGTCACTTATGATTAATTGAGCTTGGTGAAATAATTATATTAAGATGGATATGTGAAAAAAATTATTAAGTATAAATTAAAGAATAATTTTATAAAATTACAACTAATCTGATTTTGTTGTGTAGATTCTAGAGTAGAGCGTTCAAATAGTCAGTGGTGGAAGTAAAAATATTAAGATGGATGGATGGATGGATGGCAAAAGTTAGAAATAAATTAAGAATGGTTATGTAGGTGGGATGTTTGAAATAGCATCGAAGATAAGATAGTTGAAGATTGAGTTAGCTGATTTGAACATGTACAATGAAGGATGAAAAAATGCTCTCATTGGCTAGATAAATAATGTAAATATTAAAGAAATAAGATGTAAAAGGGAGAGATTTAGGTTAACATTAATAGAAGTTCAAAAAGATTTGCAAAGAATATTATATTACCTCATGTAGTGCTTAGCAGAAATTAATGTAAAACAGAACCTAAATAGTTGGGATGATGCTGACTTTGATTTATTTGTTTCTAGATGATTAGTCGATAACATGACATCTCTCTTTGCATCATTTATCATCTTCGTATATTCTTTGCACCTTTGCTAGTGATTGCAAGGTTGATAAAGTGACAATCCTCTTATATTGTACTCCTGATTTGGCAAGGCTGATAAAGTGACATCTTATATTCTTTACACCTTAGCTGAATGTACCCTTTTACATGCAGGAAAAATTCGTCAGTAATTGCACAAACAGAAAAGCTGTAAAATCATCTGCTCTTACTTGTGTCATTGATGTTGAATCTAGCCTCATAAGAGAGCCATCTGTACCCTCAGTTTCTCCAAATTGCAATCAAGGTGAAATTATGCTTCACATAACTGAATTCCGTCATTCCAATCCTTTTCCAGTGATGTGTCAAAATAATCCCTTAACTATTTACATAGGATGACTATAATCCCAGAGCCTATAAAAGTTTCAAAAAGATCCTTTTACTCTTTTAATATAGGCTATTTTAACCCTCTTTAAAAGAGTCTAGGGACTAAATTAATATTCTTATAAACTCTGAGACTAAAATGACTCCCTGCAAAGAACCAGGGGATTATTTCAACACTTTTCTCAATCCTTTTCATGATTTTGCTAATTTATCTCCATGTTAAGTAACAGGTGCTGACTTCATCAACATTGAAGGAGACAATGGAGAGAAAGAGACATCAGCATCAGCATCTATTTTGGCTATCATAGATGATGTTCTAAGAGGAAACCTTTTAAATGCAAACCTCATTCGTTGTGAGTCTATGGCCAACGAAAAACGGGAACGATCATGTTCTATAGAACGAATGTCGTGACAATCTTCCGGCGGAATGTCGGATAACGTCGAAACGGCGCTACCGAGAGATAGGCCGAGTTGGTTCCCTGTTGAGGACAGCGAGAGAGAGTAAATGCCTAAAACTTGTATGGTATATGTATGTAAATTTTTACCTTATTTTAATTGCACAAATTGCCCATTTGCATCCCCACTCAACAGGTTGGACCAAGATCGAAGCCATAGACTCTCTAATGGGGAAAGCAGGCTATAACAGTGTAATCTCCGAATCCCTTCGCAAGAGACTTCGCATCACCAAATACCAAAGCACTTTATACACCATGCATTACAGCGAATATATTGCTTATGTCAAAACTAGCCGAGCTCAATACCCTACAATGAACGGGGTAAAGTCTATCCATTGATTTGTGGTTTTGCAGGATTCACCACCAATTTAGATTAAATTTAATGCAGCTGGGTAAAAAATGTAATTTGATTTTTGTCCCATCTGCTATTCAACTGCCTTCATTCTTATTGGTGTTTGATAGACTTTTTATTTAAATGATACCCAGCAACATTGTTGTTAACTATTTATATTAATACTTATGTATGTGGAAAATTGTATTTATATGTTGTTTAAATGATATCTAACTTAAACAAATATCATTTTGCTCTAGTATATTATTTGATTTTGAGAGCATTGTTGGTTGTTTGATTTTAATAGTAGTAGATATATTGTCTGATCTATAACAATAGAGTGTTCAATTTATCAAAAGGAGTAAACGTTTTAGATATCTTGTGTTTATTGTTCATAGTGGTGGTGATATAGATGGTGATCTTATTCGTAGAATTCATGTTGGATGTTTGAAGTGGAGGAATGCATCAGACTTACTGTGTGATAGAAAGACACTGCTTAGATTTAGAAGAAAATTATATAAGATGGTGAGTTCTGCAATGCTGTACAACGCAGAACGTTGGCCTATAATAGAGGCATAAAACTAAGTAAAGAGGTGTTGAGATGATAATGCTTAGGTGGATGTGACACTTAGAGATAAAATACAAAACAAATGTATCCATGAATGGGCTGATGTAGCTCCTATAGGACATAAGAGTGGAGAGTTGTCTTAGATGGTTTGGTCACGTTAAGCGCCGGTCATTTGATGATCCAGTTTGATGAGTATATATTTTAGATTCAGCTTATGTTAAGAAATGTAGAGATAGACCTAAAAAAACTTAGATATGTGTAATAAATGATTTTAATTTATTAGAATTAAATGAAAATATGACACCCAATAAGACAATGGAGAAAAAGGATTCATGTAGCCGACCTTAGTGAGATAAAGGCTTGTTGTTTTTATCTTTGTTGTTGATTATGAGACATTGTTACAGGAACTTGAATCTCAAAGGAGATGATTTTGTTTGTTTGTTGGTTTGTTTTCCTACATATCGGGCAATTCCTATGTATTTATATATCTTTGCTTAAACTTTGGCCATTTAAACTTATGTATGAAATTATATATTTCACTTTTAAAATTTGATAATAGTGTTGTCTTTTATGTCATATGAAATATATGAGTGTTATCTGATGGTTTAGTTGTAAGATATGCATATAGATAAGAATTGTGAGGTATGTATGTAAATGCCCCATGCCCCAAATTTTTATGTTGAAATGGAATTATTCACATATACTAAACCATACTGATGATTTTCATTTACATATTTTATTACTTAGTTAATATTTGTATAAAATAAATAATTAATAAAATGATAAATACCAAATGGATGGGTCGATTTGAACAGCCATCTCGACTGCACCCAAGCAGACTAAGCAGTCTATCGAACCAAGCAAAGGAATGAGAGAGACAGAGAGAGCGAGAGTGAGAAGCAGAGAAGTGGGAAGCTTCTCACGAGAAGGAAGAAGCCGAAGAAACTTACAAACGGAGGAGAAGGAATCATCGTGCCCTAGCTGATCGAAGAAGAAGGAAGGAGTCTCGTGCTTCTCATATTGGACATTCAACACCACCTACGGATAGTTGGCGTCAAGCATGTCCTTTGCGTAGGAGAAGTGTCTTGCGTGAAGTACACATTTTACAAATGCAGCGTGTGGGAGACAGGCAGGGCAGCGCCGCTTGCGCGAGGAAGAACCAGGCAGCTCGTGCGGCTCAAGGGAAGAAGAAGAGGCAACTGACTCCTTATGTTTGCGCGTGCTAGTGCTTGTATGAGAAGGGGCAAGCCACATATGGGATAGAGGCGGGCCAAAGCTTTTGAAGTTAGGGTTTAATTTTAAGTTGTGAAATTATAATTTTTAAAATTTAATGTTTTAACTATTTATTTATGTTATGAAAAAAATGATGAAAATAAAGTGAAAACCCGTATCGAAAAATTGCAAATAAAAAAATAACACATAGATTTACGTGATTCAACTAGTTTGCTTACATCCATATAACTGCAGAAGATTTTATTACTTCGAGAAATTACAGCGTCGAACGTCTCGACGTTTACAAAAACTTTCTTTCCTTTTTCCCTCTCCCTTTCTCTCTCTCTCTCACTCTTCTTTTCTCTCTCTTAGCTCTCCATCGTGAGCTTTTCTTGTAAGCTTTGTCGAGCCAAGCTTAAGGAGTGGAGGGGTTAAGAGGGCTTGGCTTAGCAATTTATGACAGGCCAAAAGAAGTTATTTATAAAAAACAGAAGAACAGTAGGTGGGACGCGGAGAGAGGTAAGTGAGCGATATGTGAAATGTGGAAAAATGTATGTGACCAGTAGGTGGGACACATGTTCCATGTATTTAACAATTTATAATTCAATGTCAGAGCTAAAAGAAAAATGGTAGAGCCCAAACCCAACCAATTAGCAGGGCGAAGGAGTCTTCTTACGTGTGAGGAAGTAACCGAAGCCTATAACATAATATTAGGGTTATTTAAATTTGCTTTTTTTTTTATAAAATTTAAGCTCTAATGTTTGAATAAAGAATTTAATTTGGACTTCCCTAAAATTCTTGAACTTGAGGACCCTTACAGGTAAGTATTTTTTTTTTAATTACTTTTAAAATTGATTCTGTTAATTTGAAAAAAAAAAATCGTTGTTAAAAGTAATTAATGTTATTTATTAGTCTAATTAAACAAAATTATTATTTATTAATTAATAGCTCTCATCACAAGGAGTTTTTTGGCACCAGTGCAACACCACGTCTCTTGGTTTCTCGGACCAAGATGGTGGTCGAAAAAGAAAATGTGAGAGGAGGAAGAAGAAAGGAACAGAGAAGAGGAACTAGAAGAAGTTGGGTAAAGAAGCTCTCTCACAAGTCCCCAAAATTCTTCAAGGCTCATTGCGATTGCCATGGCTCTCTCCAAGTAAAATCAATGTGATCTCCATGGCTCTCTCTAAGCAAGAAGAATATTCACATAGGTTTGAATGACCACTTGCCTCTTTTGTCAAGTGTCAAGGTTAGCTTATAGGTCATTTTCGGCTTAGCATCGGTCCAGCGACTTATCCTGGTGGTCAGAAGGTATCCAGACAAAAAAATGGGGAGCAGACAATGAAATGAATCAAATTAGGTTGAATGTGTGGTAACACCCCTATGCGAGCGTGGCCACACTCCTATGCAAGTGTGGCCACGCCTAAGCGTTTGTTTCTTGTTTTCTGTTAATTCGGACCACATGGCAAGACCTAGAAGGCCCTCTTTAAGTGAAAACGACATCGAAAAGCATTTGCCAATTTTGAGCCTAATTTTTTCACGTTGCACCGAATAGAACTCGTCTGGTCAGGTCATCCCATCAATGCAATGACAGTCGACATTCGCCTCATTGACAATCAAAGCCTTACAAAATGATCTTAGCCACATGCCTGAGGATCGAAGATGGATTTCTTGGGCCTTAGGAAGTCATATATGTGTGAAGCATACCCTAAGGTTGTTCGGGCGGACATTCAATACACGTGACATCAAAAATTGATACAAACAACGTATTTTAGATCCCTTTGATCTTTAGGACGAAACCAATGTGACGACCTTGTGAAATTCATACAATTAGACTTTACTCATGCGATGTGCACACACTTAAATGTTGTGATAGAACACTACGATAGATAGTGTGTTAGTTCTGTGTTTGTTTGGTTGTCCTAGCCAGATATGTGTTATTTTTGTATTTCCTATATGTGAGATCCGTGCACTAGTATATTTGGGGTGGTTTTCTTGCAGGGAGTCATGTCCAACATAAAGGAGCTGTAATGATTTAAAGCTAACACTTTGATTGCGAGTGATGCTGAGTTCTTCTCTCACCGGGCATGATTCACAAACGTTGCATGTAGATAGCTTTTCGCTAACATAATTTTCATGAGATCAAGTCTTTTTTGTACTTTTATATGTACTTTTAGCGTCCTAGAAAATTTCTATAGAGAAAATAAGATAGAAGCATGAGTTTCGAGACAGTTGAGGCATAAAACTATGTGGCAGGGACTAGAAGCAGATGCTCATGTCTCATATCTTAACTTTGCATTTGCTTTTATGTATAACATCTAGGACCAGGTATGTAGATGTCAGGTATGTAAATGCAGGGTCTGACAGCTCTTTTTCTTTTCTAAGATATATTGCCTACCCAGCAACACATTTCTTTCATATTATTATATTTGTTGTCTTGATTTACTTTCCCGCTTCTTACATTTGCTTACTAGTCTCGCCGTTTTTACCTTGTGATTTTTCTGGGAATGCATCATTATAATTTAGGCTTTTTAAGGGCTCTAAAAATATAAACTTTTTACAAAAATCCTAATAAAATATTAAGATAAAATCAAAATTTATGATTAAAATATTCAACTATTTAAAACCTGCACTTTACTTTTCTGCATGGACTTCAAGGAAGTTTTAAAATGGTTCGCATGCATGGCTATACACCCCATCATATTTAATAGAGTCTACACGTTTAGGACTGGTTTAGGACTGATTTAGATAATTGCATAATTTTTGCATGTCCCAAGGAAAAACCCTCGTGCTTATTCAATCTACATGGTCCAACATAGATTTATACTTTGGTGATTGTCTAACGCGATTAGGATGATAGAGGGTTTCCCGACCCAGACTGGGTACAAGTCCTTTCTGGAAAGCGTGTTTCAAATTTGTAGTTGGACCTGTTCTTTCCCTTCTTTCTTGAGGTATCTCCGTCAATTACTTAGCGGGTATAAGTCACACCTATGTGAGCTCTACCTTTATAGTTGATAGGACTTAAGAGTTCCCTCTTTTAACCTTTGGGCTACCAAGTTCTCTTTCGACGAAACAATTCACAGATTGTTGAGAAAGAGTTTCAGGTTACATTGGGTCCAACTACCTTCACAACCAAATAGACTCAGAGTCATAATAGGTTGGGATGATGAATCTGTGGTATTGTGACCCAACCATCTTTAACAAATTATGATTACTCTACCTCTTCTTTGTTGAGTCCTTTTGAGCCCTATCATATTTTTTAGACCTGGTTCATGTCTTTTCTTAGGCCCTGATTGTAAATAAGTCGCTGCCTATTTGAGATATGACGATTCATCATCTAGTCTTATGGTCTGGTTTGGCCCTGGAAGCATAGTGTGAACCCTATGAGGTGACCTAAT